AGTCATGTTCCGTACTGGTCTAGAGATATATCTCTACTGTTGTTTTACAGACAGTAAGTCATGTTCCGTACTGGTCTAGAGATATATCTCTACTGTTGTTTTACAGACATTAAGTCATGTTCCGTACTGGTCTAGAGATATATCTCTACTGTTGTTTTACAGACATTAAGTCATGTTCCGTACTGGTCTAGAGATATATCTCTACTGTTGTTTTACAGACATTAAGTCATGTCCCGTACTGGTCTAGAGATATATCTGTACTGTTGTTTTACAGACATTAAGTCATGTTCCGTACTGATCTAGAGATATATCTGTACTGTTGTTTTACAGACATTAAGTCATGTTCCGTACTGGTCTAGAGATATATCTCTACTGTTGTTTTACAGACATTAAGTCATGTTCCGTACTGGTCTAGAGATATATCTCTACTGTTGTTTTACAGACATTAAGTCATGCTCCGTACTGGTCTAGAGATATATCTCTACTGTTGTTTTACAGACATTAAGTCATGCTCCGTACTGGTCTAGAGATATATCTCTACTGTTGTTTTACAGACATTAAGTCATGTTCCGTACTGGTCTAGAGATATATCTCTACTGTTGTTTTACAGACATTAAGTCATGCTCCGTACTGGTCTAGAGATATACCTCTACTGTTGTTTTTCAGACATTAAGTCATGCTCCGTACTGGTCTAGAGATATATCGAAACTGTTGAATCCTAAAGATGAACATGATTGGAGACTGCTAGCGAGTCGTCTTGGTTATAGTAATGATGATATAAGGGCGTGGTCTCAGCAGTCTGATCCCTGCATGGCCATGTTAAATGAATGGTATACCACACATAAAACTAGTGAAGCTAATTTTGGTATTTTGAACAATCTGGTTGAAATGGACAGAATGGATGCTGCTGTTATTGTAGAGAACGCAATGAAAGCTGCTGGTAAGTGGATATTTATTTTACACAGAGTTTCGAAGTTGCAGATTTATTTATATAATGTTAAATCAATGATAGAATAATTAGAATATTATCACCAGCACTTTATTTGACATTCAAATCAGATTGTCTTTGTTCTGTTTCAAGTACATGTTCCTAGATAGTTCCTAGTTATTTGATAATTTTGTGTTTATTATTAATTCATCATCATTCTGATAGTTTTCCTTATTTTCTTTGTCAAAATTATTAATATCTGACTCTTTGTCTAGACAAGGTTTTTGGGAATATTAAATTTACGACATGTCAAAACTTTTATTTTGTCTGCAGAACAAGTGGTAGAATATAATATTATATACCTTGTGAACTCTCTAATTCAGAACAAGTGGTAGAATATAATATTATATACCATGTGAACTCTCTAATTCAGAACAAGTGGTAGAAGATGATGATTATGATTATCCAGTCCCTCCTCCTATTTTTATCAGTTATCAATGGGGACATCAAGATGAAGTGAAGTTATTAAAACAACATTTAGACATGGCGGGCTACGATTGTTGGATGGATATCGGTCAGATGGGCGGGGGAGATAAATTATTTGAGAAAATTGATCGTGGAATTCGAGGAGCCAAAATTATCATCAGTTGTACCACAGAAAAATACGCCAAATCTCCAAATTGTAACAGAGAGGTGGGTTGTCTGTGGGTTGTCTGTGGGTTGTCTGTAGGTTGTCTGTAGGTTGTCTGTGGGTTGTCTGTAGGTTGTTTGTAGGTTGTCTGTAGGTTGTCTGTGGGTTGTCTGTAGGTTGTTTGTGGGTTGTCTGTAGGTTGTCTGTAGGTTGTTTGTGGGTTGTCTGTAGGTTGTCTGTAGGTTGTCTGTAGGTTGTTGTAGGTTGTCTGTGGGTTGTCTGTAGGTTGTCTGTGGGTTGTCTGTAGGTTGTCTGTAGGTTGTCTGTGGGTTGTCTGTAGGTTGTCTGTAGGTTGTCTGTGGGTTGTCTGTAGGTTGTCTGTGGGTTGTCTGTAGGTTATCTGTAGGTTGTCTGTAGGTTGTCTGTGGGTTGTCTGTAGGTTGTCTGTAGGTTGTCTGTAGGTTGTCTGTAGGTTGTCTGTGGGTTGTCTGTAGGTTGTCTGTAGGTTGTCTGTAGGTTGTCTGTGGGTTGTCTGTAGGTTGTTTGTGGGTTGTCTGTAGGTTGTTTGTATTTCTGACGTCGCAGTCAACGTTTCTGTTATACAATCCAATATCAGTCCTAACACTAAGTAAGCGAACTAGCACTTGTAAATGAATAGTTCTTGCTTCGGACCTAGGCCCGTGCTTTCTAGGAGTTAAACTATATAAGATATCAATAGAGCGAACCCACAAAGTTTGTAGAAAACTCAAGGAAGAAGCAGACTGAGTCTAAAACGTACAAAATTGAAACTTGAAATTTAGGAATTTTATATATAGATAAACAGACTGGAAATAAAGTTGTAGTTTCTATTTTTCAGGTGAATCTGTCAGTCAATCTACGTAAACCAATCATACCTCTATTACTAGAGAGTTGTCCGTGGCCACCAGAGGGCAGTATGGGACCAATATTCAGTGAATATCTCTATATACAATTCTACCAATCCAACAAATCAGATGAAACCAAGGACGAGAGATTCTGGCCGCCACCCAAATTTCAGGAACTTCTCATGCAGCTGAGTATGAATGGAATCGTCCCTGATGAGTCCAAAGTTCATAAAAGTAAGAACAAACCTTGATCTGATTTTCCTTTGTTTACTACAAGTTTAATATATTATAATAAAATATTTTATCTTATTCTTATCCAGTGTATAAAAACTGGTGGAACCCCCTGGTGGAAGAAATAAAAATCCATAAAAGTAAAACAGCAAATGGTGGAAAAAACAACAAACAAGTTGTTAAACCAGACACCAAAAATCAGGTACGATTCTCAAAAACTGAATTCATTGTTTTACTTTTTATAAGATAATAGTTTTTTACATCCAATACCACATGGACTCTAACATCTGTCTCCAGGACACATTTGTGTGGGTGAAAATTGAGAGAGTTATTGCCCTTGATATAGTGAGTTATTGCCCTTGATGTAGTGAGTTATTGCCCTTGATATAGTGAGTTATTACCCTTGATATAGTGAGATAGTGAGTTATTACCCTCGTTAGTATAGTGAGTTATTACCCTTGATATAGTGAGATAGTAAGTTATTGCCCTTGATATAGTAAGTTATTGCCCTTGTTATAGTGAGTTATTGCCCTTGTTATAGTGAGTTATTGCCCTTGATATAGTAAGTTATTGCCCTTGATATAACAAGTAATTGCCCTTGATATAGTGAGTTATTGCCCTTGATATAGTAAGTAATTGCCCTTGATATAGTGAGTTATTGCCCTTGATATAGTGAGTTATTGCCCTTGATATAGTGAGTTATTGCCCTTGATATAGTGAGATAGTGAGTTATTACCCTCGTTATAGTAAGTTATTGCCCTTGATATAGTAAGTTATTGCCCTTGATATAGTAAGTTATTGCCCTTGATATAGCAAGTAATTGCCCTTGATATAGTGAGTTATTGCCCTTGATATAGTAAGTAATTGCCCTTGATATAGTGAGTTATTGCCCTTGATATAGTGAGTTATTGCCCTTGATATAGTAAGTTATTGCCCTTGATATAGCAAGTAATTGCCCTTGTTATAGTGAGTTATTGCCCTTGATATAGTGAGTTATTGCCCTTGATATAGTGAGTTATTGCCCTTGTTATATTGAGTTATTACCCTTGACATAGCAAGTAATTGCCCTTGATATAGTGAGTTATTTCCCTTGATATAGTGAGTTATTGCCCTTGATATAGTGAGTTATTGCCCTTGATATAGTGAGTTATTGCCTATAGTGAGTTATTGCCCTTGATATAGTGAGTTATTGCCCTTGTTATATTGAGTTATTGCCCTTGATATAGCAAGTAATTGCCCTTGATATAGTGAGTTATTGCCCTTGATATAGTAAGTAATTGCCCTTGATATAGTGAGTTATTGCCCTTGATATAGTGAGTTATAGCCCTTGTTATAGTGAGTTATTGCCCTTGACATAGTGAGTTATTGGCCTTGATATAGTGACTTATTGCCACTGATATAGTGAGTTATAGCCCTTGTTATAGTGAGTTATTGCCCTTGACATAGTGAGTTATTGGCCTTGATATAGTGACTTATTGCCACTGATATAGTGAGTTATTGGCCTTGATAGAGTGAGTTATTGGCCTTGATATAGTGAGTTATTGGCCTTGATATATCAGTGAGTTATTGCCCTTGATATAGTGAGTTATTGCCCTTGATAAAGTGAATTATTGGCCTTGTTATATCAGTGAGTTATTGCCCTTGATATAGTGAGTTATTGCCCTTGATGTAGTGAGTTATTGCCCTTGATGTAGTGAGTTATTACCCTTGATATAGTGAGTTATTGGCCTTGATATATCAGTGAGTTATTGGCCTTGATAAAGTGAGTTATTGCCCTTGATGTAGTGAGTTATTGCCCTTGATATAGTGAGTTATTGCCCTTGATATATCAGTGAGTTATTGGCCTTGATAAAGTGAGTTATTGCCCATGATATAGTGAGTTATTGCCCATGATATATTAAGTTATTGCCCTTGATGTAGTGAGTTATTGCCCATGACATAGTGAGTTATTGCCCATGATATAGTGAGTTATTGCCCATCACATAGTGAGTTATTGCCCTTGATGTAGTGAGTTATTGCCCTTGATATAGTGAGTTATTGCCCTTGATATATCAGTGAGTTATTGGCCTTGATATAGTAAGTTATTGCCCATAATACAGTGAGTTATTTCCCTTGATATAGTAAACATTGTATATTTCAGGCTGATAAATCTCCCGATGTTTTTATCTCGTATCAGTGGGATAAACAGAAGAATATCATGTTATTATATAAAAAATTAACAGAATTAGGGTATGATTGTTGGATGGATATCTATCAGATGGGGGGAGGAGATTCTCTGTATGATAAAATAGATCGTGGTATACGAGGCTGTAAGGTCGTATTATCCTGTCTTACTGAGAAATATACAATCTCAGCTAATTGTAGACGGGAAGTCAGTTTATGTGATTCTTTAAAACGACCAATCATACCTCTTCTATTAGAGAATATGTCATGGCCGCCACGTGGACCAATGAGCATGGCTTTTACAGAATTACTGTTCATTGATCTACACTCAGATCCTGGGGTCCAGGAAAAATGGTCTGGACAGAAATTTGAAGAAATGAGAAGCAAAATAGAAAATATTTTACCAGATGATGTTACTAGTCCAACACAAAATAACCAAAAACCAGCAGAAAATAAAAATAATCAAAAGGCTTCGAAATTAGCAGAATTAAACAAGAAGTATTCGTCAAGTTCCTCGGAAGCTGAAAAAACTCAGGAAAAACTACCTCAAAAAGACCAACCATTACCTCTAGAAAATCATGAAAAACAAAAACGTCTCCAACAAAAACCTCAAATTAAGGTAGCTGAAAACGAAACATCTTCAAGCTATGTTAAAAGGGCGACACCTGGGTCAAAGGTCAATCAGACCAATAAGCAACCAGAACCTCAAAATCCAGCAAGGGAGGTTACGCCAGAAAAACAAGCTACACAAACCAAAGAATCATCTTCACCTCAATCTACCAATAAATCTACACCAGAACCAAAACATTCAGCAGCGAGTCCCTCACCTGTAAAATCTAAATCTTGTCAGATTCTATAAGTTCTCTTAAAGGGATCATAAAAAAGTTTCCTCAATTTTTTTTATTTTGTGCCATATTTGACAGCCCTAGTGTTATAATATTGAAAGATTTTTATAGGGCTATATAAGTTTTATCTTGTATTATCTCTCATCTATATTGGTATGATGTGTTATTTGTTGTCACATTGTATGTTCAGTTTATTTTTCATTTTGTATATTTCATTTCTGTTCTGTTTGATGCATTGACGGCTGGAGGTTCAACTAGGGGGGACAACTTTCATGGTGGAATTCAAAATGCAGCAGCTCCGTGGTTGCGCCATAAGAGCAAGCCTCACATTGAGCATCTAAAAGAATTCTTCTAAATAAATTTTTTGAAAAGTGATTTGATGCTTTTTGACGCATATTTCCCTTCAATAGAATATCTTTATATTTATAAGAAATGGAGTGGGGGTACGACCAATATTCTAACATCTGGTGTTTCAAAACTAAAGATAGTACCACAGGATTATAGTTCTATTAGAGGATATTCCAAATGTTGAACCATTGAATGTAAACACTTCATTCCTGGACTAAGGGTCTGGTAATCAGGGATTTTGATTGGCCAGTCTTGGTGACGGCTGATCAAACTGTGGTTACCATCTTGGATTTGCAACTTTTCTTTTGTCTAGACCCACCACAATACTCATTCACCAAAGAATCATATATATATATATATATATATATATAGTCAACCTTAGAAATTTGGATTCAATGTAAAATAACTAGAAAATGAAATGAATGAAGTTAAAACGTCCTACTTTTCTGCACCATGTGGGCAAATGAAGATGGACAATGCCATGCAAGTGTGCAATGAGGGAATTTTTGCCAGGACAACGACATTAGTCTACTTTTTTTCCATTTCCAACTGCTGAGGGATCTTTAACATGCACAACCTGTAACATACGAGGCCTCGGTTTATTTTCCCATCCAAATGACTAGATGCCACTGACAAGGGGAAACCAGGTCAAAAAATCTGAAGGTATTATCTTGACCTATGTCAGGATTGAACCCTTTGACATTCAGGTTAGCAAGCGTCTTACTCCACGGCTCCAACTAGAAACAGCTAAGATATTTGAATGATATATATTTAATATTTACATGAAATCCTAACAAAACAAAAACATCAACTAAATTGTGGAAAAATGAAATGAGAATTAACTTTAGCAAGTTTTATATTACTAAACTAATGAATTGTGTCAAGGAACGGTCATAACAAAATAACATACATATCCAAAACTCTGCATTAAATGTTATATTAGTAGACTAACAGATAATTAGAAAACTGTTGACAAGAAATTCAGATTTATAAATGTTTTAATTTTGATATATTTTATCAAAAACAAAGTCAAAAAACAGAACTATCCATCAGAATTTAATCAAATCTCTAACAGTACAATTATTCTACTCAGTTTCTGAATATAAATATCCCTTTTTGTAGGCTTCTATAGTGAAAATGACAAACAATCAAAATATAAAATGAGATTGAATGAATCTGGTGATCTCTTTCAGAGTTATGATAAATACATTAACATTTGATTTTAAAACAGAACACATAAATACATTATCGCATTTTCTCAAGTTCACTGTTAAATATGATTTTTCTTTCTACTGTTTCTGTTATACAAGAATGATCTGTTGAAAGAGAGTGTTAAAGTAGCTGTCTGTCACTGAAATTCTTTTACGCAAAGTTCATTCAATCAAAACTTTTTCGTTTAATGTCTGGTCAATCAGGTTAGTTCACAAAAAATGTCATACAATCAAAACATTTTGGATTAGTTCACAATTGAGTGACAAGATATTTCAGCCATCACTTTTAAACGATTTTCATGCCCACCTAAATAGTAGGTTTAAAATGTTTGGCCAATAACGTTTGTATTAAACTAGATCACAATTAAGTTCCCAAGCTGAAATGCAGGTTATTGAATTAGAAGGCAAATCCTGACAGTTCTTGTCCTGGCCTTCTCTATTGAGAAATTAAGCCACTTCACAATCAAGTCTCAAAGTTATGTCACTTTATTTCATGTACTTGTCTTCGTGTTGTGCTAAATGTTTAGCTGAAGATTTCGCATCGAAGAATAATTGATTCATTTCCTCCACCTCGTCTTTTCCAATACATTCCTTGCCATTGATATGTGCCATGATGTTGCCAGGCGTCAACAACTGAACTGCGTATCTAAGTGTGCTCTTCGTTCCAATATTTGCCAACATTTGTAATGAATCGTCGTCAATTTGAATGGATTCAGTCTGACTTCTTATTCGTAAAATCTGAGCCATTTCTTCTGACCGATATGGAAGGGTTCGGATGATCATAATTCTATCCAGTAAATCAAGAGGCATTCCATGAGGAGCTACGATATCATCAGTACCTTTAATCGTACACTTTCCTCGATTCGTAGCAAAAATAACAATGGGAGCGATAGTTGATTCTAGAGCGCGGTGTAAGTAGGTGAAACATTCGATATCTAACATGTGAACTTCATCAATAAACAAAACACCAGGTACAAGTTCGGCAATTCCTTGATCAATATATTTATTCACTACTTTGTTGATCTCCTTCCGTAATTTATCAGTAATTTCTGTTTTCTTGGGTTTCATTAGTTGTCCCATCATAGACATGATATCCTGACCACCTTGAGGTCGGGCGTTCGCGATATCTAAATCATGGAGAGTTACATCCTGAATCACTTCTTTCTTCTTATGAACATCACCTTTCGGCAGTGGAACATATTCTTCTGCTTCTAAATCAAACTCGGTTGCAAAACTGTCTGATCGTCCTTGACGTTTAACGGCACCACTATTAGCCTCGATATAAATAACATCACCCACTTCTACCTTTTCTTTCTGAAGACTTTCATAGATAGATGGATCTAACTTCAGTTGTTTGGTGCCTTTTGAAGTTTTCAGCCCTATGATCACATGACTGACTGTTTTTCCGTAACCTCCCATTGGATTCTCTGTCTCGACAGGTGTCAGTTCTGTCACTTCACCATCGTAAACTTCCTTCGTTTCTTTGATACGTAAACCAATAGCACGTCGGAAATTCTCCATCAAAACCTCAGTCTTTTTGATTTCTGATGAATAGACTTCACTTCCAACCATTGGACAAAATGGCACCTTGGTTCCCAACTCCTGTGCGATGGCAAGAGCAATGGCAGTCTTTCCAGTACCAGGGGGTCCAGCCAGCAACACAGCTCGACCAGCCATCTTCTTCGATTTGATCAGTTCCACGATGATACCTGCAGCTTCTCTCGCCGATTCTTGACCGACCAAACCTGCCGCAGTTTGAATAGCGTAACCATTTTCATCAAGTCCCAAACCTTTGACATGACTGTGAGAGGCGATTCTCTGCGCCTTGGATGTACTTTTAACTTCCTCGATCTTCATCTTTGTATGTTTTAATGAAATTCAACTAATTTCAGCCTTTTTAAGGTAAATTTAAGCCGGTATTTGTCTCGACAAGTTTTTGTGTGCAGCACGCGTTTCTTTAGCGACACATAAACGCCATCTATGTAGAGTGTAAAAGAGAACATGGATTTTCGAGTAATATTTTTCCAATAATTTTCTTACTTTGTGTGTTTTTGACAGAATAATCATCATATGATTGATTTGAAAAGAATCAAATGTAGAGTATTTTTAGGAAAAAATTTCAAGTTACCACATAATTAGTGGATAACTATTTATTCCATTTTGTCCAGGGCGAATTTTAGGCCATCGACTGGAAAATGTAAAAGAAGAATTTGGAATTTTATTTATTTACGTTTTCAAAAATCGGACGAGTAAGGTCTCGAGAAACAATTGGAGTGGACTTCGAACTGTCAACAAACGTAGGTATTTTGTATCTTTCGTGCAAGTTTTCCAACGTCTTTATGCAGTGAAAATATAGCATTAATTGTTCAAAGAAGACGTTAAAATTTCATAGTCTAAATTTAGATTTATTTGTGTAAATAGGTAAAGAAGACAACAGGGTCATAATGAGGTGTTTTGAACAACTTTGTTTTGACAGGTTTAATAATGTTCAGTAGTTAAGATGGGTAGATAAAACTCAGTCTTCATTATCTATCATAATTAGAATATTATTCACAGCAGTAATTACTAGCAGGACAAATCGACCCCTGGGTAGGTCGTCTTAAGGGAGAGAACTCTGCACCAGTCAGACTACAACTAACTTTATTATCTCACACGGGTGAGATCTGTTTTATTTTAGCTGACACTGAACATTATTAGCTTCGAGAGGACTTGTCTTATTCACTAACACACCGCTGCCATCTTGACGTTTTGACTTTGTATCGTGGGAGAACAACATTCTTCAACTAACCTTGTAATTTCTTCATTTCAGATTTCTTCAAGTTTTCTACACTTAGTTATGATTTTGTTGAAACATAGGCCTTCACAAGTTCTTAACATTTGTAGAAGTTATTCTTCAATCAAGACAACTGATATTTCTAAACATTTCAAACTTCGCGAGATTTCCCGGTCAGTCCCGGGCAAGCCATTAGTGATTCTGTTCGATTGGCTTTATGCCAAGCCGTCTGCTGTCGATAAATATTGTAATTTGTATCACGATCGTGGATTGGATGTTCTCACTGTTAGAGGCAAAGTTTCACAATTTCTATGGCCGCCTAAATCCTTTCTTCTCACCGAGGATTTGCTGAAATATTTATTAGAGACACGCCCATTTCAAAAATACGTCATACACGCTTTTTCGATTGGTGCTTATAATTATGACGTTTGTATGTATTTAGCCAATCAGAATAAAGAAAAGTATGGAGAATTTAGTTCTAGAATTCAGGGCCAGATTTTGGACAGCATCACGATCGGAACGTACGAACAAATGTCGAGGGGAGTTTCTTCCATTTTGCCTTCGAACCCCATCATCAGAAAATCTACTATGAAAATTGTGGACACATATTATAAACTGACAAGCAAAAAGACATTAAAACAATACGATATTTTAGTTCAATTCTTTAAAAATGATCCCATCAGAGTGCCTACTTTATTCTTTTATGCCAAAAACGACCCGATGTGCCACGTCGAGTCAATCGAAGAGATGATAGAAAAATGGCGAGAGATGGACGAACTTGAAGTTTTCAGCAGACATTGGGATGAATCTGTTCATTGTGCACATCTTAAATACCACCAAGATGAATATTTACAAGAATTGGATGATTTTTTGAAGACAATAAATCTGTAAATTTACAAATGGTGGTGTAATCATATTCATTCATTACAATCACCAACCTTTCAGTTGTGGATTTCAAAATTGAGATTCTCTTCCATTTGAACAGATGAATATTCAAGAAAATTATGACCTTAATCGTGAGAGAAAAATTCGTTGTAACTATCAAATAAATCAAAGTTATATCGCTCATGTGTTTTAAGTTATAATACCAAGGTGTATAGTTAGGCCTATTTGCATGTAAGGATCATGGAAACAGGCATCTACTCTATTCCTTTATCTCTTGTGAAATATACCGATATCATTTGATTTTGACACTAGTACCCCGCCATAGCATGCCGTGACCCTTTTATATCTCGACTGCATTCCATGAGCTCTTGTGATACAGATGTACAATATTATTTTGACACGAATCCCCTTCTATAGAATAGCGTCACCTCTATGTACCCGGTATATAACCTTGTAATGACGTCATATTGATGATAGTTATGACCGGATGTCCGAGTTCTCTTCATTACCAATCTACAATCATCTTAAATCAACTTATTTTGTATTTAATATACATGGTCCATTATTTTATACTACGGTCTGTTAATAAAAATATGAAACCGGGCGAATTTGAACCAATATCATCGTTCTGAGTGGCTGTATTCGCTGGCGTACAATCCAATCAATTCGCTGCATTCCATGCTATTGCAGTCTAGGTACAGACTGGCTTGCCCGCAATTTTTCTTACGAATTTTACCTGTATTTTTCTTTGTTTTGGGGTTTTTGCCCGATATCCCCTCCCCTCAATGTCCTCCGTCTCCTACGCCTATATCTGTTATAATCTGTTTTGGTTCCTTCTGATTTTAGCAACCGGTGCTACTGAAGCTTGTATATTGACGAACGACATCACTTGTGCAAAAACATAGGATGTTCCACTTTCACATAACTACTTTCTGCAGATTACAAAACTTGATGATTAAAATATCTTGTCTGTAATAGACATACCATGGTGCAAACAAGTAGGACGTAAAACTCAATTTATTTTATTTTTAATAGTCATACATTTTTTGCCCTCAAATTAGCTATCAGAGATTCTTAAGATGTCATCAGAGATTATTTAGATGTTATCAGAGATTAGTTAGATGTTATCAGAGATTAGTTAGATATTATCAGATATTAGTTAGATGTCATCAGAGATTATTTAGATGTTATCAGAGATTAGTTAGGTGTTATCAGAGATTAGTTAGATGTTATTAGAGATTAGTTAGATGCTATTAGTTAGATATTATCAGAGATTAGTTAGATGTTATTAGAGATTAGTTAGATGCTATCAGTGATTATTTAGATGTTATTAGAGGTTAGTTAGATGTTATCAGAGATTAGTTAGATATTATCAGTGATTAGTTAGATGTTATTAGAGATTAGTTAGATGTTATTAGAGATTAGTTAGATGTTATCAGAGATTAGTTAGATGTTATCAGAGATCAGTTAGATGCCATTAGTTAGATATTATCAGTGATTAGTTAGATGTTATCAGATATTAGTTAGATGTTATCAGAGGTTAGTTAAATGCTATCAGAGGTTTTGGACTTGTGTCGGAATCGATATAAATAAAAGAAAGAAACATCCATAGTTTATGACGACATCAAAGGATCTTTTCTACCAGCAGTTCCTTGGTCATCGATTTTTCTGCACCTCTTTACAGCTGGGTCGACTGGAATTATGAGTGAAGACGACTTATTCAAGGTCACCAGGCTTTCACATGCCGAATGAGATCGGAACCCACAGCGACCATTTGTCCGACATAACCAAGCAAATTGAAAGAAAAAAAACGCTCTAACCGACTTCTACAGAATCTCACATTGTACATATAGGCCAATTACAATATGAAACGGATTTACTATCATTGTTTCGACCGATTTAGATCAAATGGCATGAGAAAGAAAACGATTGAATCATCTCATTGTTTAAAGTTTGTATTTGTTGAGATTGGCGTGGGTGTATAGGATCTTATACTGATCATACGATAACTTGACCTCGTTACTCTTCTACAATAACTTCAGTCATCCAAGTCGGCTGTCTTGATCGAACTCAGGGTCTTATTCTGGAGGTTGATTCACTATTACGCAATACTGTCTTTTTCAAGGGATAGATTCGCCATTTTGGGGGTTGATTTAAGTCTTGAATATATGTAAATAGTCTTCCAAAGTACTAGAAATGTACGAATATCACACAATTCCTTTAAAAATACTTCAAACTAGGAATTTTACTCACTATTTCTATAGATGTATTTTCTATATAACACAGAGTATCTTAAATTGACGAGTTGTCATTTTAACTTTTAAACGCGAATAATTCTTGATACACGTGGAATTGAAAGCTAAAATTTCGACGGTGAGCTGTGAACTGATTAGCATAGCTAAAACATTCTGTATTTCTGTGACTAAGGTATGAATGAGCATCTGTCTCTTTAAGTTCTTTTATGACATTATCTACAGTTTCGAAATAGATTGATGTCTGTTACTCTATTGATATCTGTTATTCTATTGATATCTGTTATTCTATTGATATCTGTTATTCTATTGATATCTGTTACTCTATTGATATCTGTTACTCTATTGATATCTGTTGTTCTATTGATATCTGTTACTCTATTGATATCTGTTACTCTATTGATATCTGTTATTCTATTGATATCTGTTATTCTATTGATATCTGTTACTCTATTGATATCTGTTATTCTATTGATATCTGTTACTCTATTGATATCTGTTACTCTATTGATATCTGTTACTCTATTGATATCTGTTATTCTATTGATATCTGTTATTCTATTGATATCTGTTACTCTATTGATATCTGTTACTCTATTGATATCTGTTATTCTATTGATATCTGTTATTCTATTGATATCTGTTACTCTATTGATATCTGTTACTCTATTGATATCTGTTACTCTATTGATATCTGTTATTCTATTGATATCTGTTACTCTATTGATATCTGTTATTCTATTGATATCTGTTATTCTATTGATATCTGTTATTGATATGCTATTATAAAATAAGTGTATAGGGGATGCGATATTATGTAAGATAAACCTAATTCAACAGATGACACGATGAATCAAAGATCCTGAAAGGGATAATAATAAAGAAAAAGTTGAAAAACCCTGACCTTGGAAGTTCTGTTGTGGTATTGAATTCCTCTGTAGGAGTTGACGAGTTTAAGGAAGCGTATCTGAGAATCATACGAAACTACGCACCATTTTGAAATACAAATAACAACAACAATTCGACTGATTTTGTCTGGCGTAGTGATTTAAATGTCGGTCAACTAAGTTTGTGTCTGTTATTTCTATGTAAGAATGACGTGTAGTTTGGAATGAATGTTGACGAGTATAAAAATGGGTGTATATGAGAATATAATAGTTTATAAAGATGGTATATTGTCAATAATTGTAATAGATATATCAGTTAACTCCTGGAAGCGGAAACTAACTCGTCATCTACCAAGCATCCAACAAGTGTAATATACCTCACAGATCACTTAAAATATTCACGTAGTAACCTATATATTACACTTCTATTACATCCGTCCGTTCTTCTCAGCTATGGTAAACAATTTATATATATATTAGGATTGGTAGGCGACAGAGAAAAAAGAGAGAGGGGGGGCAGGCTTCTCAGCTACCGGTCGCCGTTATCTTTATATTTCTATTAATTGGGTAGAGGATTGGTTGACCGACAGGAAAAGAGGGGACAGGTTTATCAGCTACCGGTCGCCGGTTTTAGTGACATGTAAAACACGTATATCGGAAGGAATTGTTTTCGGGGGTGACCAAGAAATAAAGGGGAGGGGCGGCTTCATGGAAGCGGTGAATATATTGTAGTTTTCTCATCTTACAAAACAGATTAAATTATCTCTTTACCATACAAACCATAAATACTTTTCAAATCCGCCACTCAGTGAATTTAATGTATTTAATTAGCTATATTTCAGGCACAGTATTAAAGTCAAATGTTCGCCATATTCGGTGGTAGATTTTGGGTCTTGAATATTTTAAATAGTCTTCAGAAGTACTAGAAATGTACGAAAATCACATAATTCCTTTATAAATACTTTAAACTAGGAATTTTACTTTCTATTTATATATGTATTTTCTATATATCACAGAGTATCAAGAAAAGTCGACTCGTCTTTTTATTTTCAAACGTAGATAATTCTGGATACACATGGATTTGAAGGCTCAAATTTCTACGGTCAGTCGTGAACTCTATAACTGATTAGCTTAGCTAAAAATTCCCCGTTTCTGAGACTAAGTTGTGGTTGGTCGAATGAATGTCAAATCTTTAGATTAATCTCACTGCGTTTATTTACTATATCTTTCTCTGTCTCTGAACTCAACTCCGACTTTCTAATTTTAAACCCAGCTCTACTAGTCTTATTTGTCTTTCACTTGATAGTTTTGAAACAGTAAGAACAGATTTTTAACTATGTAATTTGGGATTTGGAGTGGTCTTTTCTACCCCGATCATCTCCTCGACAACAATAGCTGTCTGAAGTCATCTGCTTACTCCAATAAGAACGCACGAACGAAAATATTTAAAAAATATCGATAAAAAAATCTTCTTTTGCAGAAAATAGTCTTTTTTTTTTACTAGAATTTCAAATCGAATTCAAATTATCGAAAGTGAAACTTGGTATGATGAAATCGATTTTGGTTTAATCAGAAATAGTTGAACTTTCTCACAATGATAATCAATTTCTCGATTCAAAGTTGAAAAATGTAAGAAAGATCGTTCGATATCCGACCGGAATTTAACACCTAATTGTAACATGCACCAGAATACATCAATCAGTGAGAACTATTTTATCGCGTAGTAGACTAATACCGGTTGTTATGAGTCATGCTATTATAAAGTTAAAGAGTAAAGTTAGAAGAATTCAGTTTAAGCTGGGAATTTGTCGTGTTCTGATCGGTGGTGATTGAATCTTTCAAAATGATTCTTTACGCCACATTAACTGTTATTTTATTATCAATACAACATATTGGATGTACTTTAAATTCTACGTGAGTAACAATTTATTTTCCTAATCTTCTTTTTAATAGCACAACAGAATTGATTTTTATTCAGTTACAAACAAGCAGATACTAATAGCATATTTCTCATTCATTCATTCATTCATTCATTCATTCATTCATTCATTCATTCATTCATTCACATAAAATTAGGACAAATCATTTTAACATTTTTTCATTCTGCTTTATTATGGGCTGGGACGGGCTGATGACTGGGGACGGGGTGACAGGGTGATGGGGGACGGGGAAACTGAGAGGTGAGTCAACTTTCACAGGATTCAGGTTCTTACCATACTAGTTATATACAGATGGGACGAGAACATATCAATTAGCTAACAAATTGTTAACAATGACAGTTTTCTGTGGTCAGAAATAGGCTAAAGGATGCCGAACTATCGTGTCTATCTAGCTAGTAGATTGTTTGGTACAATGACAGATTTCTGCAGTCAGAATGGGACAAGGGCATACCAAACTATTGTGTCTAACTAGCTAGCGGATTGCTTGGTACATTGATAGTTTTCTAAGGTCAGAATGGGACAAGAGTATACCAAACTATCGTGTCTAACTAGCTAGTAGATTTTTTGGTACAATGATAGTTTTCTGTGATCAGAATGAGACTAGAGTATACCAAACTAACGTGTCTAACTAGCTAGTAGATTGTTTGGTATAATGATAGTTTCTGTGATCAGAATGAGACTAGAGTATACCAAACTATCGTGTCTAACTAGCTAGTAGATTGTTTGGTACAATGACAGTTTTCTGTTGTCAGAATGAGAATAGAGTATACCAAACTATCATGTCCAACTAGCTAGTAGATTGCTTGGTACAATGACAGTTTTCTGTTGTCAGAATGAGACTAGAGTATACCAAACTATCATGTCCAACTAGCTAGTAGATTGCTTGGTACAATGACAGTTTTCTGTGATCAGAATGAGACTAGAGTATATCAAACTATCGTGTCCAACTAGCTAGTAGATTGCTTGGTACAATGACAGTTTTCTGTGGTCAGAATGAGAATAGAGTATACCAAACTATCATGTCCAACTAGCTAGTAGATTGTTTGGTACAATGACAGTTTTCTGTGGTCAGAATGGGGACTAGAGCATACCAAACTATCGTGTCTAACTAGCTAGTAGATTGTTTGGTACAATGACAGTTTTCTGTGGTCAGAATGGGACAAGAGCATACCAAACTAACGTGTCTAACTAGCTAGTAGATTGTTTGGTACAATGACAGTTTTCTGTGGTCAGAATGGGACAAGAGCATACCAAACTAACGTGTCTAACTAGCTAGTAGATTGTTTGGTACAATGACAGTTTTCTGTGGTCAGAATGGGACAAGAGCATACCAAACTAACGTGTCTAACTAGCTAGTAGATTGTTTGGTATAATGACAGTTTTCTGTGGTCAGAATGAGACAAGTGCATACCAAACTAACGTGTCTAACTAGCTGGTAGATTGTTTGGTATAATGACAGTTTCCTGCAGTCAGAATGAGACTAGAGTATACCAAACTATCATGTCTAACTAGCTAGTAGATTGTTTGGTATAATGACAGTTTCCTGCAGTCAGAATGGGACTAGAACATACCAAACTATCGTGTCTAACTAGCTAGTAGATTGTTTGGTACAATGATAGTTTTCTATGGTCAGAATGAGACTAGAGTATACCAAACTATCATGTCTAACTAGCTAGTAGATTGTTTGGTACAATGACAGTTTTCTGTGGTCAGAATGGGACTAGAACATACCAAACTATCGTGTCTAACTAGCTGGTAGATTGTTTGGTACAATGATAGTTTTCTGCAGTCGGAATGAGACTAGAGTATACCAAACTATCATGTCTAACTAGCTAGTAGATTGTTTGGTACAATGATAGTTTTCTATGGTCAGAATGAGACTAGAGTATACCATCATACAACTATCGTTTCTAACTTGATAGCAGATTGATTGGTATAATGGTAGTCAGAGATGTCAGTCCCCTGTTTAAAAGTTCCCATGACTTAAAGGATTATAATATTGGTTCTGTGATAATGTCAAATTCCAAAGTTTATAATACCTGCTATCTGAGATTAAGATATATACCTCTACTGTACTGATATATTCTTAGAGTTTATGATGTTTACCTGTCGAATCTTGTTGATAAGATAGACAGGATTATCATCCCACCTCATTATTGTTTATCATTCTTTATTGTTTATCATTACTAGGAATTGTCTCTCGTGTCTACATTTACAACCATGAATAAAATGATTTTGAATTTACGCCTAACTTTTATACAATCGGCAGACCGAAATATTGAATCACGCTTACCCTTCCGGACACCTGGTGCCATTCTGCGACTGGATTTGTCAGCTTCACATCCCTTTCAGAGAGTCCACATAGATAATATTGTTTTTTTGATATTTATGTTTGGTGGCTTCACACCCATTTCTGAGAGTCCACATAGTTAATACTGTTCATTTGGTATTTAGGTTTGTCGACTTGACATCCCTTTCAGAGAGTCCACATATCTAATGATGTCTATTTGATATTTATGTTTGGTAGCTTCACATCCCTTTCAGAGAGTTCACATATCTAATGGTGTTTATTAGGTATTTGGGTTTGTCAACTCGACATCCCTTTCAGAGAGTTCACATATCTAATGATGTCTATTTGGTTTTTAGATTTGTTAACTTGACATCCCTTTCAGAGAGTCCACATATCTAATGTTTATTTTGGAATATTTTGTGATATACTGGGCTTGTTACAATGATGATGTTTGAATTCTTTGGAATTTTTATCATTTCTATAATACACCATCTAATTTAAAAGCCATATTTTAAAATTTTAGAAATGATAAAACGAGATGAAATTAAGTTAAAGATATTGACTCTTAACTCAAATCGATCAAGTCGGAAGCCATTTGAACAGATCTAGAAGCCTTCAGTCTGAACTTAAAATCTTACAGCGTGTAATTCTCGCAAGTTAAAAGAAAACTTAGAAATTAAAAACGTGATGTAGCAAAGTTTGTTAAGACACATTTAGAAATTAAAAATACAACCAGTATTGGAATTAACCAAGATACCATCACAGCAGTAAGTTCACTTGTTCTCGTTTCATATTTTGAATAGTGATTTTCGTTGCTACCCAAAACGATAGTTGGCAAGATGGATTAACATCTTCCTGTTGGTTGGAAAACACAATTAAAAGTAAAGTTATAGAAACAGCTTACTTCAGATTAATATTCCAATTCCATTTCTACTTTTTGTCTGTTAAATAACCAGAATTTAAAATTTAGATTAAGATGTAATTCTCCCCAAATTGGGTCAAATATAGTCTATGATGATTCTGACAATCGAAATACCAAAAAATAAACAATATTAGGTATGTGAACTCTCTTATAGATCGTCGAGTTAGCAATCATATTTTCAGTCACATCAGGTGTCCCCTGCCTCGCTAGCGACGCGACACCGTCTACAGTATTTATATTAGTGGATCTTATATTCTATAAAGTCTTTAGACTAAACAGATTATAAACTATGATGTCCGTTAGTTATTATAAATAATACTATAATTATTATGTTGTATATAAATTGACAGTGACGTATCTATAAGAGTTTATTAGTTATAGTAACTAATAATCCTACTAATAATAATAATATAAACTATTACCAAGATTTCTTTAGTATTTGTACCGAAACAGGTGTAGAAAAGTAGGACGTAAGATTATTTTGCGGTTATAAAAAAAAGTAATAAAACTATTTTGACGTAACTATTTTGACGATATGGGATTATTTTCACGTTATAATACCAAACTGACGTTTTAAAACTATTTTGACGTTTTAAAACTATTTTGACTTTAAAAAACTAGTTTGAAGTTACCGAAAAATTATTTTGGATGTTTGAAAGCTATTTTTGAAACCACGGCACCAGTCTTCAATATTACGTCACTGCAACAATTTAACGGCAACGATTTGACATTTTAGTTATAAAATAATATCGATGTTGTTGGAACTTTTTGACCCCTCCATTTCACATATTCTCTACGAGCCAGATCACAGACTGGAGGGAAGATTCAAGCATCAATAAACAATAGAGCTATTAGCTATCAATGACACCACACGATATAAAATAGGAAATTATATAAGATAGAAACTCACTGCATGATATCCGGACTATATATATATAATCAGATAGGTGATTAGACATAGAATGAAATGGAGTTTTACGTCCCACTTTTCTACTTCTGATTGCCCAAGATACAAGCAATGCATTGCAGTGTACAATTGAGAAAATATTGCCAGGACACCATGACCTGAGAACATTTATATATAGTATATTTACTATTTTCTTACGATGTTTCGAGAAACAATTCCCAGGTTGATAATTAGAGATCTATTCTTATTATGAACAATACTCAGATATTACATTGTCTATAACAAACAAAATATTATAGCTGGCTCTAGCTGCCCGACATCTATCATAATTTACACCTCATTCAACTAATTTGACTCTGAAGACTTACTTTAATTTCAACAAGCAATAATACTATAATAATAATAATACTACACGTAGAATCTGTGATGGAATTTTTTACTTTAGAAACTCAGTTGCACAGTGGAATATAATATACAAGACAGTAGTTTAATGGAGGCAAATGAGACAAAGGCCCACTTTTGAAATGAGGACCAATGTTTAGAAGTATCTTTTCTCTGAATTTTATATTTTCAATCCACCCAAGTGCCTTATCTTAACTTAGATTGTGGTATGGAATGGAAATTATTTCTCTGACCAGAACCCCCCCCCCCCCCCCCC